TCCCAAGCATCTACTATAGAAATAGGAAAAAGATGCAGAAATATCTATAAGCAGCACATTTTCAAAAGAGAGAAAAGCACTTAACTAGTTAAATAGACTGAAAATAAAAGTCATTAAGCACCAGATGTGAATAGAACGATGTAGTACCCTAGATGAGAAACAAAACCAAAGCTGAAATCAAAAGATCACCCTGCTGGGTTACAAATCCGAAGTGGCCAGAGCAGAGCTCACCTAGAGCCGATCAGTATCCCAACAGTGCTGTACTTCTGGAAGGATGTTACCTCCTTGGTCAGGGATCTCAGTGAAATGTGTGGCACTTGTTGGGAAAGCTTGCTCCTCCCAGAGACACAATGTTTGCTCATGACAAAATAAGGCCTCCATGATGAGCCCATAACCTCATTTTTCAGCCAACACATAGGGACAGACATTCAAGTCCACGTCCTGGCTACTGCGTTCAGAGACTTTAACCCAAAACTCCAAAAAAAGTCCACAACCAACTCCTTAAAAATATGTAATACTTTTTCTGTCCTCTGAGAAATATCAAAACATGTGTGTGAGTAGAGGAGAATCACTCCACAGCCTTGCAATGCTCTGTGGCACAAGGCAGCCATTTTCTGTGCACCTGTGCGCTTCTTAACAAATGCTAATTGCTGACAGTTTTTACTGCAAGGAAACTAGAACACACTTTCCTTCCTGTACCCAAACTCACTGCTGAGCAGGAAGTAGTAAGAAAACAACTTTTTTTAACAGCTGTATATGGGGCGAGACAAGAAATTTTATCTGCTTACCAGATATTTATTTGAATAGAGGGATGGAACCACAACACTATTAATCCAAAAGGTTTAGTAGTTGAATGATTCAGGTCAAATTCACCACTGTAATGCATCACTGACTGCTTTTCAAGAGCTGTCTACATAGTCATTACTCCAAGTCTTTATCTCAGTGCACGTGCACACGGGTCAGATGCATGAGATCTCACTGGTAATCAGCTGCGCTGCAGAGATGCCTGGGCTTATCAGCAAGTGCGTGCAACCACAGAGCAGACTGAAGCATGCACATGAATTGATATTATTTTCCTTCTTACTGTCTCTGACTTTGCAGGCTCACACCCAAGAACGTGCCTATTGACTCCTAGTGCCGTGGTACTCCTATTGCCCCTTCAGCAAGTGTGTCACAGTGGGGGAGCTGAGTGCCTTGAGGATATGAAGGAGGGGAGATGGTAGAGCAGGAAACAAGGGCACTCAGTTGCTTCAGATGTTGTACTGAGGGATATGGTTTAGCTGGGAAATATTGGTGTTAGGTGGATAGTTGGACTGGATGATCTTAGAGGTCTTTTCTAACCTCAGTGATTCTATGACAAAGGGAGGTGGGAGCAGACATACAGCCAGGGGTGTCTGACTGCTAACAATACCCCAACAGAACAGTCTGCCATGGGTCTCTGGCAGCTCTTGAAGAGCTCAGAAGTTTTTCTGTGTCCAGAAGAGGGATTAGGCCAAAGCCCAGGTAACAGTCAACACAAACCCTTCCTTGATAACACAGGTTGTGTGTCAAAGGGGAATTACAAAAATCCAAATAAGTGGATTATATCAACTTTACTAGGAAATTCATTTTCCTCGTGGCTCTTGAAAGAAACACTGTCAGAGATTACGTCTCTCTCAGAATACAGCAGCTTTCTGAGCAGAAAATAAAATCCACTGAGTTCAGTGAAAAAGATGCGCTTCTGCAGGTTTGGGATGAAGGGACCTGAACAGTCCGTTTGATTTGCGCTGTGCAGAAACTGCTCAGCAATTTCACATTATGCAACACAAAAAACCCCACCCAAAGCTGCACAAGTGTGCAGTGTTAGCTTTCAGTGGAAATTTTGACAGCGCAGAATTACCAAGATAAGAGAAGTTTTCTCTTGCTATCCCTCTTCAGTGTCTTTGATAGTAAGGTTTTGTAGCATTCAGGCAAAAATAACCTGTGGTTTCCCCACAGGAAACCCACGATACTGCTTGTATAGGAGCGATAATTTCAGGGCAATTAATGAGATAGCATTGTGCTTAGCAGTGGTTTAAGATAAAACACAAAATTCTCAACGTTGTCTACAACGCAAAAAAGACACCAATTAATTTTAGCCTAAGTGCAAGGATCCACTGCATTAGTCAGAATCACTCTTTGCAGCATTTGAGGTTGGCTCTCTTCTGGCAGCAGCTTTATGCCAGCGTTTCTGCTCATTTCTGGTTACAACTGATGGTGCACCAGGTCTGCACCTGCAATCTAAGCAAAGAGCTACACACTAAGGTTTAAAGAATGTTTCTACTTCCTTGATGTGTTCATGAGATTAGAGACACCGTACATGACACTTTAGCATGAGCTCCCCTCAAAGCATTTCTGCTATGGTTATTTGCTTTCCCTAGAAAATCAGAGATATTTATGGCAGCCCCACTTCAAACAGAAGCCTACAAGATGTAAATGACCTTTATCTACATTTTTCAAGACTTTTACTACAACCAGTATCTTTCACTCTTTGCAGAGGGGTTTTCCACAACACCACTTACCACCAAAAAAATAACATCATTTTGTTCCAACTTTATCTTAGGACAAAGTTTTTGTTTTTTCCCTTCAGAGCGTCTGATATGATGCTATGTTTTGGCCATAGGAGAAAAACACTGTTGATAACACACTGATGTTTTAGTTGTTGTTGAGCAGAGCCAAGGACTTTCCAGTTCCTCTGTTCTTCATATTGTCCTGCCAGTCTGGGAGGCACAGGGCGCTGGGAGGGGACAAAACTAGGAGAGCTGGCCTAAACTGGCTAAAAGGATATTTCATACTACATGACATCATGTGGAGAAACTTGAAAAACAGCAGGGAGCTGAAGAGGTAAATAGCTGCTATTTGGGAATGGCTGGGCATCAGTCAGTTGATGGTGAGCAATCACTAGCACACCACCTGTTCTGTATATATACACGTTGGGTATATATACATATATGGCATAAACACATGTATGTATGCATTATCACTATTATATTTTTTCCTCTACTTTTTCTCTTATTAAACCGTTTTTATCTCAACCCATGAGTTCATGCCACTGGAAGGGGGTGAGCTAACGACTGTGTAGTGCTGAGCTACCTGCTGGGTTAAACCACAGCACGTTTTTAAAAGAAAGCCTGTAATTTGAGTAGTGATAGAGAAAGTAAGCGTGTGAGGCCTGCAGCTATTGTCAGTTGTGCACTTTATTTCACTTTCAGCAAGTTAGAATAAATGTGCATTCTGAGGCCTTCAAAAAGTACCACTTGCTGACAGCATGAACGTATCACTAAAATGCACTGAACTAAACGAGTTCATAAGTAAATAAGAGATGTAAATATATGAAGTCAAATGTATTGGAACCCTGTGCCAACTGCCTCTCCAACTACATTTGAAAAATGTTATATTCTGTTTTAGTGCTCATTTTTTATGAAACAGATAAGGTGGTCCCCAGAATTGGGGATAGCAAAGACTTTCTCACTTGAAAATAAGGAGGGCCTTTTGATTTCATGACAAAAAGGAAAAGGGAAGTGCAAACTCATAAAGGACTTTCAGGTCAATAAGGCTGAAAACACTTTTCCCTAGAGATTTTCAGTCACACAAAGAAAATTCCAGGCTTGTCAGAGTGCTGGAAGCTGTTATGGATTGCAGTCACAGTAAAAGTTCCATCCTGCTAGAGGACATCCAGAACCAGAAAAACACTTTAAACATTTAAGTTCCAGTAGTAGCCTTGCTTCTGCAAGACAGCTGACCTCCTCTGGGTCTTAGCAATTTTTCCTTAATCAGCCACTGTCTGAGCCCCATGTCCTGTAGCAGTGGCCAGATAGCTCATCATAGAAAGTGGAGATATGAAGGTCACCCTGAAAGTAATACGACCTATTTATTTCAATGGAAACTACAATGGGTACAAAAAGCACAATAACACTACTTGATAGAGCAAATTGTCAGCTATGAAAACATATTTTTCAACAGTCACCACAGGCTGATTTGTGTGGATGAGCTGATAGACGATGCGCTTCATTTTGTGGTGTGACAGCTGCGCGTGGCTGTCTGGTCTTTCCCATCGCTGTTGTCTCTGCTGAAACACACCACCCACTGCCTCACTGTTATCACATTCATTGTTTGGTCTCCAGAAATATCCAGAAGAGCACTGATGAATGTCAATGGGTGCCGTTTTTACCACATGGAAGAATTCAGTGACACACCTTTGCTTCATACGCACTCCCATGTCAGATGCCATTCTGTCAGACTGCCCCTCTGCTGCCATCTGTCACACAGCAACAACATTTAAGGGAATATTCGTGGGAAAGTTTAATATCTACTGCCACACCTCCAACACCTGTCTTTGATTTTGTGGGCCGAGATAGTAACAAAGGAGTCAGTGCTTTCAGAGCAGCCATCATAGATGGCTACCACATGGTTAGCTGCTGCTACTTATCTTCCTCCTCAGAAATGTGCAGAAACCTTTCAGTTCCATATGTGCCACGGATGCAGATCATACAAGTTTAAAGAACTTAATGGTAAGTGCAAGCTACAATTATCTAGAACGAGTACTTAACAGAAAAGAACTACCAGAACCAATAACTATTCCATTATGTAGACAGCACAGCAGATTTTCGAGGAAAAAAATACAGATCTGTAACATACTACTTACCCTATTTTTTGTGTGTTTTATTCCTAACATCAATATCAATATCGCTAATATCAAGCTTAGATTCAGATAAGAATCAATTTAAGACCCATCTTCTCTCTTCTGAACACCAAGCTGCCTTTCATACCTGCTTTAGGATTCTTCTACTTCCTTTCCCCAAAGCAGCCAAGAAAATACTACTCCATAAGCTTTTTTTTAATTTGTCAAGTGATCTCTCAGTCAGCTTCACGTGACCATCCACGTCCTCTGCCAAACTGTACTGTTAATCTGACTCCAGCTGAGCACAGACTTACTCCTTCATACATGCCCATGCACACAGATATTTAATAGGACTGTTTACCTTTTTGGAGAGCTTACGTAACAAGAACCACTCCCAACCGAATCAGAAGTCCATTTGACACTATTCATATCTTGGAGACACCAGCAGCATAAGTTTGCCAATGACCACATAGGTATTTCAGCAGTGAAATATACCTCTCCAGAATATGCACCCAGCAGCTTAGCTCAGGGACTTCAAAACCAGAGGAAGCAGCTTTGTACACAGTACACGCGGCACTGCTTTGTTATGCTTTTCTAAAATTAGGCACAATTTGTCCTTGCCTTTACTGTCCTGAATAACCGCATTTTAAGGAGGTTGCTGGTTTTTAACTTAGCACAGCTATAACAGACAGGAAAGAGAATTAAGAAGAAATATTCACTATAGATTTCAGAGCCTGCAGTGAAACGTTTCTTGCTATTGAAGAGGACTTGCGGTGTGTTGCAGGCTGCTCAGAAGAGCTTATCAAACTCATGCCTCATCCAACAGACTTTGTTGTTCAGCAGCATCTTTGGCTGCAGAAGCAATGATTTGCTCTTGGAGAACAGATTTTTTTTTAACGTGCTACTCCAGGCCTACAGAAATCCCCTGCTGCATTCTCACTATTCACCTATCCATTGTGTCCTTAATTATCTCCAAAGGAATTTATTCCTTATAATCTTCTTGTTCAGGCTAACAAGCAATTCATTATGAATCCTCTGCACATCTCAGATTTACTTCTCACGCTCTCGGCTGAGAAACTAAGTAGCTGTCTCAATTAACACAATATGTATTTCCCCACTACCTATTTTCCATCTTCTCACTCAACTCAAGATCCTTCTTTTCCTTCACTAGAGACCCCATTTTGAGGTTCATATTCCCATCATGTGGCTTCGGGACTCTTCTGTTCGACTGAGCCTACAACATGGAATTGTTAAATCCAGCTGGTTGAGTCCTTCTCCTTCCCTAAATGCATGACAAACCTTTTACTTTCAAACATACCAGTTGCAATTAGCATTTCACAGAACTGTATCTTTTCTATGTCAAAAACTTCAGTTTAGACTACAGATGATAGCATGCATCATTTACTGAGAGGAGCTCTCATCCTAAATCCCAATTTTCAATGAAATGTGACGTACATGTGCTTTTTCATTTAATACTGAGATAATATCTATATTTAATTTTGATGCTACCCATATTTGAGTAGGATGTCTGAATTTAGTAGCTAGGAGACACCAAAGCTATGACCAGTTTAAAATGTTATTTTTCATTCAACTTTTCATCAAGATAATTACAACCTCAAAAATAATGCTCATTATTTCTAGAATAATTTCTCATTATTAACATGCTTCATTCTGATAAAGCTCTGAGTAGTTAAGAGCTGTTCTTGCCTTTGGACTCAAATGAAATAATATATCATATTAAGACTAATCTGCACCTGCAAAGAATGCTAAACCAGTAAATTATTTCTTAAGCATTAATCTAAGCCAGTTAATAGAAAAATAATATCTAAAAGTAATAGTATCCCAAATAAACATATACAGCCAAGGACATTTCCTCCTATAAGAGCATTTCCTAAAGAGGATGACTTTGCATTGTTCCTTAGATTATACTAACTAAGGACAGTGTAAATACACGTATTCTAAAAAGATAAGCACAGACAGGTGATTCACCTTTTTTTTTTTTAAGTAACACTTCTCACTTCTACGTTATGCATAATTGGAAATAAGATCAACTACTCTTAAAAAAAAAAAAAAAGCAAAAACCAAAACCACACAAACTCTCAGAGTTTAAAGAAAGTCTCTTAAAACAGTTCTGTACAAGCTGGCTTCCTCTGGAAGAAGCAACTGCAGTTCTGAGAATAAAATGGCTTCTGTAGCCAAACATAGGCACGTTTCGTTAAATTTAAAAACAAACATTCATGATTTACTCTCTATCCACAACTTGCTGTTGATCATGGGCCAAGATTCATAGACCTGAAAGAACGGTGGGAGAAAAGCTGTCAATGGTATAATTTCTACATCATGCCACAGCATCTTTTACTTTTTACAAAACTGTAGGCTCTCTCAGCAAAAACTTTCCAGGCTTGGTTTAGAAACCTCAAGGTAGAAAGAGTCAGATAGCATTCCTATGGAAAACATTCCTGTAATTGAGTTTAACAGGCACCCAAATACTTCTGTGAAATTCAACATAAAAGCAAAACAAGACACCTGACAGTGTGGTTTCTACAAAAGTATGCTTGTATCATATGAATTGAACAAATAATCCTATACATACTCTTCTGTGGCAACATGGGTGGATATTACATGCAAGCACACGTAGATTTTTTATTCCCTCTCAGAATCATATGATCAAGGAGACTGTCAGTTTGCTAGTGAAGTTGTAAAAGCCCGAGCTACATTTCCTGTTTGTAAGAAAGCTGGTGAAGAGAAGACTAGAGCCCTTTGAGATTGACGGCAACTCCAGAGATAGATTTGTGCTCCTAAGTCTGATATAAAACAGCATCCAAGGTCTACCAACGTAACATAAGTTGATTTCCTGTTGCATAAAGAGGTGTGGGGCATTCTTACAAGCAACATAACCAGGTAAGTCTTGTTCTTTTTGTACTACACATTTGAAAACAACAGAATGATAGAAACGTACTTTGGTTGACTACCAGTCCACTATTCTGAAGTCAAATTATTAATAATAATATAATGGTGAGGACGAGTCACCATCACTTGCTTAAACCTTCATTAATCTTCAGCAAAGCAGACAAAAGCATAAAGGCTTGTTGATGAAGGCTAAGCATTGGCATCATTTTTGTGCCTAAAACATTTACTAAACTGAGGATTTCTTATTTTATGGTGGTGCACTTCTTCCCTTCTGAAGTACGAAGTTGATATTAGCAACTGACTAAAGCAATTAGTTGTGCACTAATTAATTGCAGCTTAAGGAATCCTTTCCGGTGAATTAATCCTGTCTTAAAAGCTCACACAGATGGAAGCATTATTAATGTTAATTCAACATTCCTCAGACTCTTAATGTTTCTTTTTAGAAGAGGTCATTAGTACAGAATATTATTTATCTCATCATTTAATTGGAGAGAGGAAAAATTAATTTTGTCTCATTGTTGAAAACTTTACAGATAGAAACAAGGAGAAACAAACCATTTTATGCTCCAGCTTATCTTCTAAAACTTCGTAGTGATCAAGTAGTCATTCACACAAGCAGGTTTATGAATTGATACTATAGATGGCATGTTGTTAAGCAACTCCTGCTTGACAATTATCTGTATTCCCTATCTCGTTTCTCTTCAATAGGAAAGTGTAGTAAAAGAATTCTATGTTCCTTTCTGATGAAAGTACGTTAGAATATGTATATATATACTAAATAAAGTACATTAGAAAATGACAGAACAGAGCTTAGTATTTTCTGCTATATATTCATATACTGTTAGGAAAATAATACTTATTTCTAGCCCCACACTGTAGAATCTGGTTCCTTTCACCAAAATATAAGTACATAATTAGGAAAGGATGATCATGCTCATTCCTTCAAGTTGCAATAATTGCAGAATTGCAGAAATTAATCCTAGAAAGATTAGAGTGTTTTGTTTTTGGCTTTTGTCATAGAACGGCTTGGGTTGGAAAGGACCTTAAAGCTCATCCAGTTCCAACTCCCAGCCATGGGCAGGGTTGCCACCCACCAGCTCAGGCTGTCCAGGGCCCCATCAAACCTGGCTTTGAACGCCTCCACAGGAAGGGGGCATTCGTAGTTTCTCTGGACAGCCTGCCATTGCCTCACTATATTGTGAGTGAAAAATTTCCTCCTAATATCTAAACTTCCTTCTAGTTTAAAATCATTCCTATTTGCCCTATCAGCTTCTGCCGAGGCAAAAACTCAATCTTCACCTCGTTTATAAGCACACTTTCTAAGGACCAGAAGGCTGCATCGAGATTCCCCTGGAGCCTTCTCTTCTCCAAGCCAAACAAGCCCAGCACCTTCAGCCGTTCTTCATAAGAGAGGTGCTCTAGCCCTCTGATCATCTTCATGGTCCTACTCTGGATCTGCTGCAACAGCTCCACATCCTTCCTGTACTGGGAGACCCAGACCTGGACACAGTACTCCAGCTGAGGCCTCACGGGGGCAGAGTAGAGGGGCAAAATTACCTCCCTCACTCTGCTGGCCACCCCTCTTTTGATGCAGCCTAGGATGTAGTTGGCCTTCCAGGCTTAAAGTGCTCACTGCTGGCTCAAGTCCAGCTTTTCATACACCAGGACCCCAAAGTTCTTCTCCCAGTCTGCCTGGGATCGCCTGAGCTCAGGTGCAACGCCTTGCACTTGGCCGTGCTGAATCTCATTAGATTCTCATGGGCCCACTTTTCAAGCCCGTCCAGGACCCTCTGGATGACACCTCTTCCTTCTCTTGGGTCAACTGCACAGCTCATATTGGTATCATCAGATCACTCGCTGAGGGTAAACTTTTTCTGTTTTGCCTTTAATCCCCATTCTAATTACAGCAGAATAGACTGTAAACAAACAAACAAACAAAAAACAACCTAAAAACAAGCCAACAAACGCTTATTTATTTCCATGTCTTGTATCTGTTGGTAGAAAAAGCAGCCAAGAGACCTAAAAATTAAATAAACTACAATTAACAACGTACTTAGAAAGGCTTTTCTGTGCCTGCGTTTATTAACTGAGTACAGTATGCTTAAAGCAGCGTAAATATACATATACAGATACACCTCCAAGTTTGATCCTATTTCTGTACTAGAAATGAAAGAACAGCAGAAGAAGAATGCTTCCAGAATGTAGAGATTATTGTATTAGGTGTTCAAATTATTGATGTTTTTGTGAAGATTAAGTGTAGTATACTCCCCCCCCCAGAAAGTAGAATTAACTTCAGACTGACACTAGAAAAGCACAGAGCACACAGAGGAGCATGCTTGTGTGAGAGATCAAGGCCTTTGGTATGCTTTCATGGGTAACTAAGAACTGATTTTGTTTCTGAAGTAGTGTTGTCTGGCACACAAATAGATCATATTGCAAGACAGAAAAAGATTCCAAGAGAAGACACTTAAGTCACTTACATGTTAGTATCCATTATACTGAAATACAAGCAGATGGAATCAGAATTTTGGGAAATTAATTTTAAAATAATCCAAGGGATGTTCAGCTAGGAACAAATTATACTTTTGTTTCTATCTCTCCCCATGTATTTTTATAAACTACATATTAGAAAGCTAAAGTTTGTAAATTTAAAAAAATTGATATGATTTATTAGAAATTCAGACTTCAGGCCTTTTTTTTTTTTGCTTTAACACTTTGAAATCCTGGAGAAATAACATTTTGCCAACCTTTATTTTTTTTCCAGTCAGTAATTCCAATTTAACTCAGAAGTAAACTGTGAAAAACACCCTGCTTGTCCTCTGAAATTTAATTCTCTTGTTCAATTCAATTAAGAATTCTCCTACTCCGGAAACACCAGGGAAAATCAGAATTCCTGAAACAGAGAAATGAAGTGTAGCCTTCAATAGCAAGGATCATAGAATCTATGAACACTGGAAAGGATCACTAAAGTAATCTATTTCAACCATCAACCCATCATCTAGAAGTTGAGAACTCAGGTCCAAGCTCTACGTTAGGGATCTACTTCCTCTTTTTATTCTAATGAATCACAGAATAGTAGTTTCTGTCACAGATACATGAGAAGGGAATCTCTCAGGCCACAGTATTGCTTTTCCTCATTGAATAATGATTATTAGGAAAAGCAATAAGAAATGAGCATAAGAAAAAATGAAAGGCAATCATATAACAAAAGATAGAAGGGAAGAAGGAGGAAATATTTAGGCACTGCATTAGCCATAAGGATCCTGGTGTTGACATGCAATCTGGACTACTGGTAATTTTGGGCAGGTTGCAGAGAATGCAAATTTTGTAGACCTATTGTAAAAGGTTTGAAGCACTGGTTGTTTTTGACGTAATAACATCTTCTAGGTGAGACATGCCTTTTAATTCTTCCTCTGGAAAATGGGAATACGTAGCTGCTTCAGTGCAGTGTCTTGTCTTAAATGTCTGTATCTCACTGTAAGAAAGTGTTTCTCAACAGGAAAAGTGTTAATGCAGTCATGGAAAGCCCCCAAGTTCCCTTGAGAGAACTACAGTAGCAGAAAAGAAAGCAGGGAAAATTGAATATTTAATTTAAAAGGAAGGGTAAATGACCACTGGAAGGATCATATGAAGAAAAGCTACCAATCTGCCAGAGAGGTACAGCTTATTTGTTCTGTTTTGTTCTTTTAAGAAGAGTTCTGAGCAGGAAGAAAAGCTGCACCTTAGCCGATGTGACTCATGATTTTGCACCACATGGGATTATTTATCTTACTTCATCGTTGTAAGAACATCTGTGGATTGGAATAAAACAAAACTAAAACATCTCCTGCAACACCAGCGTAATTAGGGAAAAAAAACAGAAGGGACACTTCCTAAGGTGAGCTGGAGCCCAGTGAGCCAAAGAGCAATCCCTTCTATTTTCAGCAGGACCAATACATTGCCCTTGCCTACAACATGGGAATGCATACTCCTTTACATCAGCTTTCCTTTAAGAAGTAAATAAAAACTTAAGCCCTAATGGAATCCAGCTACATCAAAAACAAATGGGAATATTATGGACATGCTTGAATCTCACTCTGACGGTACATCTAACCTCTCCCATTGACTGCTCTGCTTCTGCCACACTTTTTTGTGCACCATTACTGGAATTCATTAAGTACTCCAAATCTAAAAGAACGTGAAACATGCCTCTAGGAAATGTGAAGAATTTAGATTCACGCTCGTTTCACCATTTTGCTTGGCTAGTATGTCTGCTGTCAGGGAAAGGTTTCACAGGCCATTTGCAGCAATGCTGATCATTCTGGCCATCAGACCATGACAATTAGTCTATTGTCATCAGAAAGCTTTGTGATGGAAAATTCACATGAGCTACGTTAATTGATGAATCACTAGACAAGATTCATTGAGTATGGGTTCCTTTTTGTGTTTGTAACAGGACTTCAGCAAGAGGCAGTTTTAGCACAAGAGGAGCTCAGTGAAACAGAACCACCTGGTATAGGTACTTCAGGAGCTGTTCAGGGTTTTCTCTGCAGTTGTCCATGGGGTGTCCAGCTCCCAGTTTCTGCTCATCCTTAGCTACTACACCATTTGCTTTCTCAGGAAGGAGAGCAAGGATATGAGTAAAGATAAGTGGCTTTAATAGGAGATGCAAGAAAACACACAGCCAATCTTTGAAATCTGTTGCACAGAGAGAAATTCCCAGTGTAGTTCTATCCAAATTCATTTTCTGAATTTCATTCATAAACTCTAACATTTAGCAAAAACTTACTGAAAACTAGAAAATTTTCAAAGCTATTCATTAAAATGAGGGTTTTTTTCCATGTCAATTTCTGATTTTTACTGCATCTTACAGGCAAACCAGTATCTCAATCTTTGATTTGCTGTGAAACAGCATCTCTGTTAAAATTTACAGGTTTTTTATTATTTAGCAGCTGGTTTGGATATTAATTGTTTAGCTCTTCCAGCTATACTTCTTGTAGCGTGGAGAAAAAATACAGAAGCTTGAGGTAAAGGAGGGGAAAAAAAAAATAAATCAACAAGCCACAAAAAATACAGCATGATTTTTAGATGACATGTATTGTAAAACAATTTTCTTTCAGTTACAGGAATGGACTGCCATTATTCTGTCTGGGGAGTTCTGGCCTTTCTAAGTTTGGCTCTCATTTTTTCATTGATACTGAATATTTCACACTATATGAAAAAGAAACAAGAAGGTAAGCAAGACTGTCTCTGTAAGGGATGGAATTTAAGAGCTTAAAAATATCTGCAGAGAATGCTATTGATTTTGACAGGTGTCAAACCAACAAACTACTTCTCTGAATCTTACAGTTATCTTTTGACTAGAATGATTCCAGTTGTGAGGATGAAACTGTTCAATTATTTAGGAGAGTCAGATAACATTACAGGATGATCACTAGCTGCCTAATCCGCTACCAAAAGCAGCTACTCAAATTCATCCTCTGAAGATAAACCAACAGCGTGTGTATATGGTGAAGAATTTATTTCTGGCTAATGTTTTATTTTTAAAAGTGTATTTTTAAGATGAATAACTCCCCTTTTGTAGAACATTTTCATGTTCTACATGCAACTGATTTAACGTATGTACTTTAATTTAAAAATGATTTTGAGTAGCTGAAGTAATACAAAATACATTTAAGAAAATTGTATCCTCTTCAAATTCCTAAAAGCTTATTTGAATTTCAGATATAAAAATTCTGTACTCACTTTATTTGGAACAAAAAATTGCTTTTCATCATGGGATTCTAGTGCTTAATCCAATGTGTCAATAATAATAGTAATGTGTTTAGTCTATGGAACTAATTTGTTTTATTTGTTAGAGGGTGACTACAGTCATGCTCTGTTTTTGTTAAAATTAACTAAGATTTTTCACATCACTGCCTAAGGCATTACTACCAATCAGCTGTACAATTCTCACCATTCCCATTCAGGAAAAGTGACCTTACACTGGGAAATCTGCTCCTTGTGCTGCATGCATATGGATGGGCAGGCAAACACAGGTAGATTGAACCACTTGAAACATATTCACATGCATAGATAATTTAGGTAAGCAGGAGGCTTACACCTATAAGCAGAATTCACGATGAATAGCTGACAGGCTATTAAAAGAGAGCCTGGAGTGTTCTGGGAGAGGGAGGAGGGCGTTGCCTTTTTGTTTTTTGTCTTTTAGTGTTACTAGGCAGACATTTGTGTGATGAAAAATCACAGCCATTTACAAAACTAACCTTGAGCAAGGTTGCAGTCAGATTGGCTGATGCTACAGTATTCATGGTATCAGAGTTTTACCAAGGCAGATTCTGGAGTTCTGGAGAACAAGATAGAAAGTCATGCATTCCTGAGTTATTAATCAAGCTCTAGCAATAAATCTTTCTGCCTCAATTTCTTCATCTGCAGATCTCTCTCTTTCAGAGACAGGAGCAACTCTGAACTGCCAGTAAAACAAACGAACCTTTCATTTTCTAATATAAACACATGATGTGCCTCCTTAGGCAGAGGGGGAAAAAAAAGAAGAGTTAGAAGCAGAAAGAGGAGGGAACGAGAAATTAATCCCATGTGTTACAGTACACTTCTGGGAGAAGGGACTGTATTTGATGCTTAACAAAATAGAGATTGAAGACCTTCTTGTAAACTAACACAGTCTGTAGCATAGCACAGAAACATAACACAAGCTTTTTAAATTATTATTCAAAATTGAGTGAAACGGGACAACTGAAAGTGCTTAGATGCCACAGCTTTCAATTTCACTCCCTACAGTGAAGTCAAAAGCATGTCAATTAAGACAATTATCTGAATTGTTCTTAAGGAGCACATTTCATTATCTTTTCACTTTTTAATTTTTTTTTCCAGCTAAAACATATAAAGACAATGAAGACAACACTGAAAGGTAAGCTGTATAAGTAATCCTTTTCTGAGAAGAGTAAAATAAGCAATAAATGGTGATAGATGTCTTTGAATTTTCTTCTGTGCCACCCCTCCAATATCTTACGTGGCCTGCCTGGAGATACTGGAAAACAGAATGATTGTTTAAAAAAAAAAAAAAAAAAAGAAAGAAAAAGAAAAGAAAAGGCAGGGGAAAAATTTTCATGCAAGAGATGCCCTCCAGACATTTCATGAAGAATAAAAAACTGCATGCTGATATGGTAACCTTCAATACTGAAGGAAGCATGATATATTGTGTTAAGGCACTATTTACTACTTGGAATCAATGAATCTATAGTAAAGAGAACACTCAGAAAACAATGAGGAATTATGATCTGTTATTTCATTCTTGTGGAACAATAATCTGTATTTGCATTTCTTTTACAAATTACATTCCAAAGCAATAAAGCAGTTTGCATTGATTCCAGATGCCGGACAGCTCCCCATCTGTCACCAAGTTTGTTGAATTTACTCCATATTAAAGTTACTGTGGAAAACAGAGATGGAAGGAATTTCATCTCAACTCCAATATATCAGGCCACTCCAATATATCAGGCCTTTGAATCAAAACCACAAAAGCTGCTGCCCCCACTCCAAAATCAATCCTCATTAACATACTCCCTGGAAACTGGAAGTCCCTCTACTTTGTTTGTTATTGCCTGCTCAGCTGAGAAATACCACTGAAATAAAGTAGCATATTTCATTACTTTATCCTTGACAAGGCACAGGATAGGGATGCAGCAGGATCAGACAGTGAACCTCTCAACAATCCTCATTTTTACAAACATGTTTGAAAACATTTTCAAACAACACCAGGTTGCAAAACACAGAATGCCATTAAAAACTCAAAGTGAAACTTTGCTTTGATCTTGTTTAGGTGCATCAACATAAGAATTTCAGTTCAATTTCAATTCAGTTTTAGTTTAGAATATGGGAGAAGAAAGGACACTTCCTTCTGTGAAGTTGGAGTTACCATCGCCTTGGTTTTTAGGTCACATACAGTCTTCTGCTATGTGTGTGTAAAATGGTAAGGTAAGAGTAGAATAGTGGGGTCCTAAATAAAGATTATGAAACAATTTAAAATTATCTTTCTATCCCTTTTCTAGCTATAGTGACTGCTACAGAGGAGATGACCCAGTTTATGGCAATCTCAGTCAAGATATTTTAGGTAAGTTTCATTTTAAGAACACTTGTCTCTTCAGTGTCTGTAAGAAATGCAGAATTAAAAGCAGACTGGCCAACACATTCTGTGTTTCTCAGCAGCCTTGAGAATCTTTCCCTTTAAATAAAATGCTTTACTCATACCTACTCATTGCCTACATCAAATTACATACTGCACTATTTGTAAGATGAGGTCATGTATAGAATTTGACTTTTTTTTTAAAAAAAAAACTACCCAAACAGTACTGTTCAGTCAAATACTTCGAAACCAACAGCTTTTCTATATGTAAAGCTGCACCCATTTAAACAACACACTTAGCACACACACTTCCAAGCAATCTAAGACACAAATTGCCTCCTGTCCAAAGTCAGTGCCCCCAGACAAGCTAGCAAATAGTAGCACATACCTGCTCTCAGTGCTGTCCATTCACAAATGAAAGATGTTAACAGAAATGCTGAAGCACAGCCCACGGTGGCTGGAGGGTGGGCAGACTGCTTCACTGGGCCAAAGTGAAGAATCATCATCCATACCATATTAGAGACAATAAAATCATAACTGCAGCTGGATATAGACAGGTGGATGGTATATCACTCAAAGCCTACTAGTCTCTGCATAGCTCTGAAGCTGAAAAGTTGTTTGTACTGACAAACATATAGGTATGTCAAGTTACTCTTAATCGAAGATGTTCCAACAGCTCCAAATAACGTCCAGTTAGGGAATGAGAAACTTCCCATCCACCCACAGAATATTTTTTGTTTCAGAGTGTCTGCATCAGAATTTCTTAGCTGATTGCCTCTCTGTAAGCAGAGGAAGACAGAAGCAATATCTGTGTCACTACCAAACAAGTGAAACTTCTAACGTAGTAAACTGGTGGGGGTGAGGAGGTACTTCTGTAACAGAGGATTTGTTAATTGGATCTTTTAATTCTGAGTAGTGTGTCTTAGTAACAGAAATACTTTTCTGCTTTGGTACATTACAGAGGAATGTTGTTACGAGCAGATGAAGTCCCAGCCTCAAAGGCCAGTTAATGAACTACAACAGGTATCTTCACTTTTAATTTTGGATTTCTGAATCACAGTGATGTGGTCTGTCACAGAGTTCTTGCATTTATTCCATGACAATAAGTATCAAAAATATTCCTGCTGCACATCACAAAAATTCTTCATACTTCAGTGTCTCAGTTTATCAGAGAATTTAAGCACATTTGAATTTTTGTTCAATCTGGGTCATTAGTAAGGGAGGAGAAAGATTACAAACAGATAATTTCCATCCATGTGGCATGATAATGCTCAGTCACTAGCATGCAAATCAGGCTCAGTTAGACATGCATCACATGATAATCACAAATTTGACTGATTCTTTCCTGCCCAGTATAAAAATCTATATTCCTTAACTTGTTAAAGACAACCAATTTTCTATTGATTTGTATTTTGTTGTTACTTGAAAATCTAAAAGCATACAAGTTTCAATTGAAATCTGTCTATAATTGAAGCATTCCCAAAATCAATTTTGGAGTTGCTTTCTAGGTATTTCATAAGGAATCATTCCCAGTCTCTCCCTTTTTATTTAAAGATTTGTTTTCATAAACTCCACAGAAAATTCCAGTGCCAATAGTGCTCAACAATTTGGTTTGAAAAACACAGAGAAGTGGAAACAAAACATGTATTTTACTCTAGAAATCAGATAACATATGCAGAAAAGTCACCTGTTACTACTTTTTTCTGCACAAAGTCTATGAAAAGTATTGTTGCTAATAATGGGATTCCAATAAATCAATTTGAGTGAAGAAAAACAGATCAAACAATGCCCTGCATCTCAAAGAACCTGGAACGATTACACAAACTGCTCTTATTTCCCACAGAGAATCTTTGAAATGATATCTGGAAGAGGGCTTCCTCTCTGCCACAATTTTAAGGGTATGAGCCTTACACAATTGTAAGGATATAACATAACTTAATTAGCATTAAGTTACATTAGTCTGTTTTCTGTGCTATTGTAACTTAATCATTTGTACTTCTAATAATGTAATTTACAGCTAGCTCGGGTAAACCTCAGCCCCTACTGTGATTACCACGTAGACATGTTCAAAGCATCAGACATAATTTTAAAGCAGACACAACTACTGAATGTTAATTATAAAGTAAACTTCCTTCCAGGTGGAATCAGTTGATCAGATGTGTTACGCCTCACTTGATCACAGCACCAAGGGAAAACGCAGAAAACCAAGGAGGAAGAAAGACCCTCCATTAGAGGATGAAGAAGAAAGATCATCTAAATCCACCATTACAGCTTCCAAAGCTTGCATTTACCTTAACAGTGAGCAACTGGCTGCTGAAAATACAGCAAACATAGAAGCCATTCATGACGATCCCATAAGATTAATGGGTTTGATTCATAGGACAAATGGAGAGAACATTTGAAGCGGCTTCATGAACCAAGTATGAAATCAAAGTGAGATATGCTTTATTAATTCTGGAGGAAGAGTGAATGATTAGAGACTGTACCCTGCCAAACTTAAATTACAAACAATGGTGTGAAGCAGCTAAATAAAACATTCCAAATCACCTTCAAAACACATCTATGGATTAAGCAAAAAATAGCTGTAGGCTCATGCTGCCCTTTTAAAGGGACTTTCCTTCTGAATACATTGTGAAAGGGAGCTGTGAACAGAGAGATACCAGCTTCTACATGGTAAAGTAAAAATTAATACTTTGTTTAAAAATAACCATCGAACTTCATACAGTCCTAGAAGATCCACTGAGTTGCCTGTAGAACTCTCACAGAGTATGACTACTCTTCTACATAGGTTTTAACAGTACTATTGAAAAGAAATGGCGTTTCACATATGCACACTTAAGGGTTCAGATGCTTTCCCAATTAAAAATAGGTCCGCATTCAAGATTGTGTATTTTCCCATGGTGAACAGTCTACAGCATGGTGTCCAACCTTTCAGCTTGCCTGGGCTGCACTAAGTGAAAAGAAACTGTCTTGGGCCAATGTTTTGGTTGCTGCTGAATGATGGGGTGCGCTAAGGACCAGCTTGGACTGCTTGGTTGGGAAGAGCCACTGCCATGATGGGAAGGGGGGGGGGAGTGAGGCTAATTACTAGCGGTCTTGGGCTTCATGCAGCCTGTTACATATCCTCACTTTCCTTTTGTGAGCAATATCGGCGTACATCTCGAATCTTCATTCCTCTACTAACATAACACTTTTTTTGTATAACACCACTTTTTTTGTACTCAAGAATAAGTAAGGATACTGGCAAATGATTTCTAACCATCAGCCTTTGCCAGAGAATTTTTCTAATTTTCTATTTTCTATTTAAATTCCTAGTGCCTTTGTCAATAAACTTCTTCACAAAAGTAGAAAGAACTACTTGTTTCCCCATGTAATTTACATTCTATGTGCACATTCATCTTTACACTTTCAACTCATCAGAAGGTAAGCTTTTATAGTGGGGATTTATTTTTATGTGACACGTTCTGGGAGTCAGTAAGCAGCAGATGGAAACAGTAACACATGTTGATGTGCTATGCCTATTCTCTAGGTTTTGGACAGTTCTGTCTTTAAAACCAAACCAAAACAAAAAACAAAAAAAATCCCAACAGCAAGTAAATAAATACACCCATGCAGAGCATTGTGCCAAAGAGCTTGAAATGCTAAAGGGCATTCAGAGTGCCAGTGTCTAAGGTTCTGATGGAGACAGTAGCTCTAAACCAGTTACAAGAACCAAACCACCTACAGGACAAAGAGCTAGTCCATAGATGCAACATATCTGTGAAGGGGACAAAAAAAAAAAAAAGTCAGAGTTAAAGAAGTCTGGTCCATGTTTATTTTAGTTAACAAACCTCTTTGAACAAGCTATGTCTTAACTCCTCTTCTAGATCAAAAGGAAAAAGCAAACCCCTGCAGACCACGCTGCTCAGTAGTACTATTAGCTGTCTTGAGCTGAAATCAAATCAATACACATAGGTCAATCCAAAATAATGCCTCCTATTTATTTCCATGGAAACTACAACAGACACAAAGAGCACAACAATGCTACTTGATAGAGCAAACTCCCAGCTACAAATTTTTTGGTATAGCAATCACCATCAGCCATGTATTTTCACTAGCAACAAACAAACAGCCTCCATGTTGCCCTCACAAAAATCTGCATTAGTGGAGGTGATCAACTGCTGCTGTCACCACTGCTGAAACACACCACCCACAGCCTCATTGTGTTCACATCCACTGTTTGGTTCCAGAAACATTCAGTAAGAGTTGATGAAAGTCAACGGGAGCAATGTTTTTCACATGGAGGAATTCAATTACACGCCTTTACTTCATATGCACTTCCATGTCACATGCCATTTTGTCATATGGCCCCTCTGCTGCCACCTGTCGTGTGACAACAGAATATAAGAGAATATTGGCAGGATACCTGTACTGCCACCAACATCTGCCTCTAACATAATAAAACAGGAAGTACTACTTTCAGAGCTACCCTCATAATTATAACAAAATAAGAAAAGGAGACATTAGGTATAGTCTCAGTAACAGAACCTGTATTTATAGCGTTGTATATATTTTGAAGCAGAGGAAAGCAATGTAAAACTTTCTCGCAGAAAGCTTAGCACTTAAAAGCATGTTGGAGAAGCATATTATACGGTGGCAGAAGCAGAAGACTTTGAAGGGAAGAACAGAGACAAAAGCAGAGTATTAAGTAGCACCACTGAATTTTCACAGGTCTATGCCAGACATCCTCCAGCAATCGCAACAGACTCTTGGTGATATCATACTTTCTAGAATACAGATAAATTGGATGTTGGTGGATCAAACTCCAAAATAATTACGTAACTCCTATTTGCCACTGCTGACACACACAAAAAATAATGGTACTGGGATAAGCTTATCTTCCAACACCTAAAGTTTTTCAAGAACTACGTTATGATTCCAAGTAATTTCCATAGATGAATGAACTATTTCTGTTCTTTAAATAAATTTGCTTTCATACCTGGATAAACTTGTATTCTGTTGCTGTTCAAAAGACATATTCAGATACATCCAAAAAGCTAATTACAGTTTACATTTAGAACAGAGAACATGGAATTTCATACTAAGTACTTTCTCAAGAAATAAAGGGAAATAATTACCTTAACAAATCCAAGAAGAATGTAGTTCATAAAGTATGTTTCCTAATGTACATCTATACTCAGAGCCAGAATAAAAGTGACCTACTAAAACATTTCTAAAAGACAACCTTAAATTGTTGAAGAAAACATCACACTCGAATGACGTAAGATACATTGCGTGCGCATGCACATTGCGAAAATCACCCACTGAAGACTGTCTTTTTATGCTAGAGTAGGCCTTACTGAAGCTGTTTCCTTATTCCATTCAACAGCACTTAAAATCACCAAAGTCTTGATTATAAGTGCTGCAACAGTGTAAAAGCAGGAACAAACAAGAAAAACGACATCAAAACCAAACCAAAGAGCACATGCCCCAAAATGAAGTTCAGTCAAATAAATTTATCCTTTTCTGAAGTTTGGAAAGTTGACATGGAGCAATACAGTTAAAATAGAGCATACTTGATCTGATACCACTAAAACTGTCTCCTTGCTAAGAAAGAACACAGGAACAAAAACCCTTGGGACCCTGCCAAATCTTTCTCATGTATTTGTTGTAGATAGGTAAACCTTTCCTGAGAATTTATTCCTGAAATAAAATTTTTAAAGCAGTGTAATGCAATAGAAAGCACCACAATGACAGCAGAGCAACAAGATCCCAGGCTGCAGCAAGGAAGGACTTGCACAAATGCAACAGCTGTGGGCAAAGAAATAAACAAAAAAAAACTGCTTACCTTCAGAAGGCCTCAGGGACACAAGGATCTCCAGGTAGGACAACCTTTCCTCCACTGCCAATCCCTAAAAGAGGTCTGGGAAGGGGTGGAACCAGGATCCACCCCCTTCTGGTTACATGGGTGCACTGCATGCACCTGAGCTTCCCTGTCTTTGCCCTGCCTTCCTTCCAGATTCTCTGTTACTTTTTCAAGCCATAACTCAGCATTTCCACTGCAAGCAGGTATTTCTTCAGGACATGTATTTATTGAGAATATACGGTATGTCAGGAAGAATTTTGATAGGACAGAGAAGAACATAACAACCTAGTTTATTTCAGGTATTTTGTATTGACATGTTTGTACAACAGGAATGGAGCAGAATTCAGCAGACACTGAGTTTGTTAAGGTCTTAGTACTAGTAGATTAAGAATCAAGATTAAAATAAAAATTGAATCATAAAAGTTTATCAGCAGATAAAAAGATAACACAAATCACATTCTACTATTAAAAATACTGCTAAATATAAAATTCAAATAAATTTATACAAAGGAAACCTGGTTCCTAGCAACACCTGATGAAGCCCAAGAATCATGAAGGGCACTGTATGAAGAATGCTGGGTTAGTTCCTGAAGATTAATGTTACAGGAAAGAATAAATCAGCATTAATTGTGTATTACAGTAACATTCCTATCTACTAAGGATCTCTTCCTTAAAATCCTTAAGTGGTATTAATACATTTGTGATTTTTGAGAACAAACAGACCACAAATCAAAACTATAAAACGTTATTTTCTCTGTATGCCATAAAGGCTCCTTGGTGAGTTTTGATCAGGATGTTGTCTAAGGGATTGCTACGATTTCGGTCCTTCCCATCAGTGTAGCTTAGTTTTCTGGAGACCCTGTACGAAACAATAGTTTAGAATAAAGAAAGTTACACAAAAATACTGTAATTGCTGACTACTTAATGAACAAAATGAAACAAACAAATCACTAAAGCGAGATATCTGAACACCTTGACTATGAACAGCAGTGGGACTCCTTGCAGCCTTCCTATGTGTGTTCAGCTGAAGGGGTAACTTTTTAATATCTATTTTAAATGAATTTGGCTTACACTGATGAATAAGTGTAGCAATGTAGTTATAGGAAAGCATTCACATTTTCTTTTCAGAAATGTCTTTTTCATAATCAATTTCTAGATAAAGGCAGTCCTTTCCTTTCCACAACTGGCTACAACGCCATTAAAGTTTCACTCCTGGGATGTTTCTTACAAGTACAGAAGGCTAAGAATCTCACACCACAGGCCTAAGGAATCTTGCCACTTTACAGTTCGTTTAGCTACAAATCAGCAAATATGCAGTTGCACAATTAATGAATGAAAAAATAGATTCCAATGCAGATGGCTCTGCAAGAAAGCACTTTGACATTCTCATTTCCTCTGCTTTCTGAAACTTCTCTATTTGCATGCAATAACAAAAGAAAAACCTTTTCCTTCTTCTGAACAATTACTAATTGCTAAATAATGAACTGCCTTTCTGATTATGTTCTCCATACAAATAGCTTAAAAGTACATTCAGGCTTCCTTTGAAATTTTAATTTGCATATTGTCAGAAAAATGTTTTATCAGCTGTTGGATCATCTGAAGCATAGTGAAAGTATTTACTGGCTTTGAGACCAGAAAGGTAGCAAATTTTGTGGTGCCAAGTGGGATCTTCTGGCAAAACATTTAAAAATTATTTTATAAAATAAAGCAAAACTATTAGAGAACTTCTAATGCTTTTTAATTATGTGCCTATTAAATTGGCTTGTAATTAAAAATCCAGGAGATCAGAAACTTGAGAAACCTTCAAAAGTCATATTTCCTGTGAAAAGTAGATGTTATAGGCCAGTAATCAGGGCGCTGAAAGAAGTTTTCTTGTCCCAGAGAAAACAGTTATTGGTAATAGTGACAGTCGATTTGAATGATAATACACTGAACTTTCCAGAAGTTAAGGATCTGAGAAGACTTGCCAGCTCAAGTACACAGCCTGAGTCAAAAATATTCCGTAGTTAATCATGGCTGAAATAAGAAGTACCCTCTATAATGAACACAAAATGAGCTACTAGAGTAGCTGTTCAAATAGGCAATCCTGTTTTCATTAACCATCTATGTTGGCTTCTGGCTAGTTTTTCCACTTGCCTCCTTGTGTTCAAGCCTACAGGTTGGATTAATTTGAGCTCTCTCGAGAATCCATGCCCATTTTCATTTTAGAAGTACTAATTTAAGCAACAACCTCCACACCATTAACATAAAAGTAGATCAGCAAGAATTTCTGACATTTCTTTTCTCCAAAGAAACTTACTTTTGGGGGCATTTCAGTGCATTTCCAGGGCTACTGTAATGTGGCATTGTCCTAGGCCAACTAGAGTGGACATCTGTATTCTCCAATTCTGGTGATGAAAAATAATATTATGAAAAGGACAAGAACTATGCAGAGTAACACAAACACTATAATACATGGTTAAAATACTTCAATCATACATATATATACTTCAATCAGCAAATTTCCATA